TTTAATAACAGGTAACATACATCTGATCAACGTTTCGACCTCTTCAGGTCTTCCTCAAGATCTTTATATATATATATATATATATATATATATATATATATATATATATATTTATGTAAGGGGCAAATAGCCTTATATGGAGTAAGGATCCAGCATAAGGGTAGGATAGTATAAAGGGAGCAAGTCGGTTGTGGTGTGCCGAGACCGACGATACTGTAGGCCTGTAAATAAAGAGGGCAAAAATGAATAATCAAAGATTTAATACAGTCAACAAATATATACAAATTAACCAGACATTTCCTTAAATGCATTACAGTATTTAATTCCTGAAAGGATTTTGAAGGTAGGAATCTAGGACGAAAGTGGGCACCATTTGTTGTGGGTAGGATAGTATGTTATCTCTACTGTTGGTGCATGTTGACTCATTTCGGAATGTGGTAGAGCCAATAGGTAATGATATGTGTTTACGTACGTGGGATTGTTGAAGACAATGATCTGTCTGAGTGGTGGTGATGGTAGTGGATTCTCTGGCCTGAGAAAGGCATAAAAGGCAATGTGCATGGCTGGTAATGGCCGACTTGGTAGTATAATTGAATGGTTGTAGATCTAATAGGTCCGATAAGGATGAACAGTTGGATGGCTATTGATAATCTCTGAGAGGAGCGTGGTGGAATGGATTCCTGAAAACCTCTGAGTATATTCTTTTCTGGTATGATAGCATGAAGTTTATGGTAGTTTTGGCCATAGGTTATCATGTGTTGTTGAATGCCTGTAAAATATATAATTAATGGTGTATGAGATAGTTTAAGTTTAAGGTGGCAAAAATAAGCAACACTTAGGAGAAATTTTGTGACACGGGTTGAGCTATGTCGTGTTCCAATGAGATTCTTTAAGCCAAGTGAAAAGCTGTGTTATGCGTTCTACAAGTATGGGACGAAAGTGCTAGGTGGGATAGTGCATGCTATGCTGCATGAGTATGTCTAATCCATGATTTTGTCTCTGGAACAAAAGAGTGGACGTGACTGTATGGGCGGCTGTAGGAAGCGTATGATGAACATGCCTGGAATATAAATGAGACAGTTGTCGGCAGGGATGTATACACCCGTCTGGTACATGAAAGTGAAATGTGATAAGTGGCCAACCAAGTGAGTTCCCCAGAAACATCATGAACTTATGGATGAGTAGTGGCGTTTGTTGATGATATGATATGTGCTTAGTTGTCTGAGTAACAACGGATTGATGACCCTGACCATGATTTACCCCATGCTACAGCAGCTGCTACAGTGGGGTAGATCTCCCAAAGGGGCTGAAGTGGTGGAAAAATTTCCAAACCTGGATGCCATGGCCAACAGCCCCAAAGCAATTGTTCCCGGTAGATCGCTGCCAAACCCGTGGTATACGCTGCATCTGACCATCTGGTTGGAGAAGTGTCAGACAATCCTGGAAGGAACATGCTTTTACCATGCCAAGTGGTTATGAAATCCCCCCCCCCATGTGCAGGTCTGCTGTTGCTGAGGTGTCTAGGCACCTCCTCTGATCGTCATGTTGGAGGTGTGGAAAAAAGGGGAAAGTACTCTGGATGTGAAAGCGTGGTCTTGTGGTATGATTGGCATGGCAAAATTAAGGAACCTGGTAGGGATTGTAGTTCCTTGTAGTTGTAAGTACTAAGCAGGAGGTAGTGATTGATTTAGTTGAGAATGTTCCCTATTTGTCTTGTGGTAACTTGCGTGTATGGATGCCAACTCAAGTCATATGCCCAGTAATGTGATGATAGTGTCTGCGCCTTCTGTTTCTTATGGGGTACTGGGACGCCCAAGTGGTCAACCAGACTAAGCTGCCATGAGGCTTCTAGTGAAAAATATGCTTTTTTTGAGCAACAAGAAGTCTTCTAGATAGTGTATGACTGTAATGCCTCTGGATATGTTATCATAACCAGCACAGAGTATCTGTGAATATCGATAGTAGGTTAATCTGTAGCTCGAAAGTTGAGCAGGGAAAGGATTGCCCAATTTATGCCATGTAAGTGCCAGTGTGTAGGGTAGATGGTAACTGTTTACTGCGTTGATGATATTGGTCTTACTTAACCAAGCTTTAACCCATGCTTGAGTGATAGCTGTAAAGGTAGATCAATGGTGTTGTATAGTAAGAAGGGAGTTGAGACTTGGGGTAGCGGAGGTGTGTGGTGCCAATAAGTCTATGGTTAGTCTTTGTTTAAGGGAAGATTCCTTGTGACAATACTAATGTGTGTGTTTGGTGCCATGCTGTAAATGGTGGAGATTGGAAGACCACTCTGAGTGTGTTTTCAGCCAATGGTTTTGTTGTGCTGACTGTAAGTGAGGGCATGCTATATTCCTTGAAGGTGTGTTTATGATACCTGTATGGGAGCCCTTTGAAGCTCCAGAGCTTTAGTAAATCTACTACAAGTCTGGAAGGGTGATGAGTCAGTAGTGTTGAAAATGCATTGGTGTGTACAGATGGTGAGTACGTTATTTGTAAGTTGTATTGGGCCACATGGTTTGTCATGTGCCCTGAACCATTTGAACATATATGCAACAGTCTATATGCAATGCAACTACTCATATCAATCGTCTCTGGTAGTTCAGAGGTGCTGGTACCTGGAGCCTGAGAGTGCTCGTCCATTTGTTTGGGACAGAACCCCTTCTGTATGGGTACCTGCACAAATAAACATCTCTACATATTCCAAATACCAACCCATCCAAGAGATGGTCAGTTCCCGATTTACCTGGAATCCCTGAATCTGACCATCACAGATACATCATCATACATATATGCCTTGCTTCCCCAATGTGCTGGGATCATACGTGCAGGGTTAACATCTTGTGTGTCATAAGAATTGATTGTACCAGGTAACCGAGTTTCGGTTGGTGCTGGTTGTACAGTAACGTGAGGCCCAGCCTTGTGAGGGCTGTGGTGACCAACTCGAGATTGCCAGTCTGTCATAAAATATTTTGGCTCATGAGTTTATGAGTGAGGCTAGCATAGCCTGGGTGTCACCTGAGTTGATGTAGCTGGGCCTTCCCCTGCCTCCGTGTTGTCCGTTGATGTATGGAGGAGTTTGAATAACTGCTTTCCTTGCTGTAGCAGGGTAGGGGATTTGTCACCTCCTTAGGTCGGTGGTAATGTGTGGGATCGTCCAGGATCTGATTGCTGCAGGACTAGCAACATCTCCTCTGCTTGAAGGTGTATCAATTCTAGCCGGGGTGCTAGGAAGAGGTGATTCTTCACCATCTTTTGGAGAAATACTTAAATAACAATAAAGATGCAATTATTTGTACCCAGGGTTCTTGTACTGGCTTGCTAGCTAAGCCGTAAGGCGAAACGATTAGGCTTGGTGTTTTTTGGTGACTGGTGAGGCCCTGCTAGTTGCCAAGTGGCTTGAGAGGCTCTATCTATGCTTGGCGCGAGGGGATTTTGTGTGGCCACCGAACATTGTGGCAGGATGTTGGCCTCTCGGTGACAGTAACCAGAAAATAGGAAGGGGAGTGACAGGTGAGGCCCTCTCTATGATACAATGCGAGGCGGCTAGCTCACGAGTGGCCCGAGGGGTGTATGCCTCCGAGTGTGAGGCGGGGTGTTGGCCTCGCGGGACCACTAACCGAAGCATAATGCAGAGAAAAAAGGGGGTAATACCTATTGGGCCCTAGAACCCTAATTGCCAGTACACTATTACTATTCCAGGGAAGGTAAGAGATGGATAACTACGTGAGCAGGTGTATGTACCTGGTAGTATGGTATTGAACCTGACAATCCGTATAGGTTTTTTAGTAGTAACTGTAACCTGAATGGATAAAACCATATGGCATAAGGAAATATGACATAGACCAAGCTTATCTTAATACGTACAGTATATGTAAAAAAGTAAAGTGCCATGATGTGTAAATATTAAACATCGTAGCCATACTGGTTAAATATGTATCAATTTTAACCCATTAAGTGCCGTATGTACAAGTGAAAATGTGGTCTGTCCCCACCTTGTATGTTGTATGTCCCCTTGCTAGGGGAAAGTCTGTTGCATGAGCAGCGTGCTGTGAAAAATGTATGTGAACTATATTACCAGTTACGTATATACAGACGCGTCTGCTACTGTGTAATAATATATGTATTTATACCTGATGTTGATATAGTGCTTGCTATGTGAATTGTTGTATGTCTTATTGAATGGTAGGGGTCAGTGAACATGGTGTTGCAAAATGCAAGTGCACTGGAGATCTGCCGAGTGCCCTATAGGTGGCAGTGTAGTTGGATACTGATTGGTATGTGAAATGTTGTTTGTCTTTTGACCTATAGGTGTAAGTGTTTTGGTGTTTGTAAAACCCCATGAAAATTGTCAATGTACTTGACAGACCTGTAGGTGGCAGTGTTGATAGAACCACTGTTGGTCTTGATGTGAAATATAAATTATTGTGAATTAAACCTGAATTTGAGCCTGTGCTGGAGTTTCATTTATGGTTTATGGTTATGTTTAACCCCGTAAGGACAAAACTTCTGGAATAAAAGGGAATCATGACACGTCACACATGTCCTTAAGGGGTTAAAACAATCTTATCTGTAATTTATATTGGCTGGTAAATTGTATATGACATGTGAAGACAGTTTTGCTGTTGACCAGTAGGGGTCATAAATGCTGATTGTATGGTAAAAATACCCTTTAACCCCTTAAGGACCAAACTTCTGGAATAAAAGGGAATCATGACATGTCACATGTCATGTGTCCCTAAGGGGTTAATCCTACCGTATGACAGATAGGAGTCAGTATAAAAGCGAAAATGCTGTAGTTAGTTTGTTTGCTTATGAAGTGAAATAAAGTCTGAGAAGACTGTAGTATACCGATTGACCGGTAGGGGTCAGCATGTAGGCGAAAATGCCGTGGTTCGTTGGTTTGTACATGAAATGCAATAATGTCTGAGAAGCCTGTAGTACACTGAATGACCGGTAGGTGTAAGTGTGTAGGTAAAAATGCAGTGGTTTATTGTTTTGTACACGAAAAGCAATAATGTCTAAGAAGCCTGTAGTACACCGAATGACTGATAGGGGTCAGTATGTAGGTGAAAAATGCAGTGGTTTGTTGGTTTGTACATAAAATGCAATAATGTCTGAGAAGCCTGTAGTACACAGAATGACTGGTAGGGGTCAGTGTGTAGGTGAAAATGCAGTGGTTTATTGTTTTTTACATGAAAAGCAATAATGTCTAAGAAGCCTGTAGTACACCGAATGACTGATAGGGGTCAGTGTGTAGGTGAAAATGCAGTGGTTTATTGTTTTTTACATGAAAAGCAATAATGTCTAAGAAGCCTGTAGTACACCGAATGACTGATAAGGGTCAGTGTGTAGGTGAAAAATTAAGTGGTTTGTTGGTTTGTACCTGAAATGCAATAATGTCGGAGAAGCCTGTAGTACACAGAATGACCGGTAGGGGTCAGTGTGTAGGCGCAAATGCAGTGGTTCGTTGATTTGTACCTGAAATGCGATAATGTCTAAGAAGCCTGTAGTCCACCGAAAGACCAGTAGGGGTCAGTGTGTAGGTGTAAATGCAGTGGTTTATTGGTTTGTACATGAAAATGCAAACAACGCCTAAGAAGCCTGTAGTACACCGAATGACCAATAGGGGTCAGTGTGTAGGTGAAAAATGCGGTGGTTCGTTGGTTTGTACATGAAATGCAATAATGTCTGAGAAGCCTGTAGTACACCGAATGACCGGTAGGGGTCAGTGTGTAGGCAAAGATGCAGTGGTTCGTTGGTTTGTACATGAAATGCGATAATGTCTAAGAAGTCTGTAGTACACCCAAAGTCCAGTAGGGGGTTTAAACGAATGATATGCATGAACATGCAATGGTTTTAGAACAGACTTAGACAAAATGCAGCAGTAAAGTGAGGACCTGACCCTTGCATGGTGCCGTGGGACTGATGCCTGGCGTAACGGGTAGGTCAACTTACGGTTTGTGAGTCACTTGGACACCATCCACAGCGATAGATTGAAGAAAGAAGCTGGTAGGCCGGAAAAGCCTGTGGCTGGATTCCTGACACAGCTCAGCTTAGAAAACCTCATGAAGTAATCAGGTAAAATGGCGTCTGGATGACCTGGAAGTGGAAATCATTCTGATGCTGACCTCAAGCGATATGAGTCAGGTAAGGGGTGTCCCTTATATAGGGGAGTGAATTAATTTAAGCCCCTCCCACAAATACAGGCAAAACTGCCTTAATACATATATATATATATATAGAGTCAATTTGATCACTTTGTGACATTTTGTGAATCAATCACTATTCAGGTTTTGCAAATGAATGGGTGTAACATAATGCAATTATTTATTCTAATTTATGAAACTTTATTATGAGATCACTTCCTATTCACTGTGTATAAAGTTTTGTTTAATGTTTGATAAGGGTGTCTTGAAAAAAGTCCAAATCGGGCTGAAACATTGACTGTACCTTTGCACAAATAAAGGATATATTGCACAAGACTACAATCCCCCTGAGTGCATTTCATTAATATATATTATTATTTATTAGTTTATTGCAGAACTACACCTCCTATATTCATTTGTCAATTTTAAGACTGACAAGTCATCATGGAAATTATAGTTCTTGAAGTTATTTTGACAGGCTTGACTTAAGTAAACAATACTTCATTTTTCCAAAGCCTTATGAAAAAGATTATATAGCTTCGTAACTGACAGTATGTTGTATAAAAATAGGGCATAAATAGTACACAAAAGAAATTATTGCTACCAGATGTAAAGACCAGATAGTATACACAGAAAGTGGGTAGAAATATTTGAAAGAAGTGTGGATCTATGCCTTAGATTAAATGCTTCTTGATATGACTGTAATAACGCAAGTTGCTTAGAACACAAACCATGTCACGGATTAAATTGTAGTATTACCTTCTAGTAAAGTTTTCTTTCTCCAATATAACTTTTTAATTAACCAATTTTTGCCAACACCGGGGCAAGAACAATACATCCTATATTGATAAAGATTGGCCAGTGAATTGTAAAGTCCATGATAAAAATAAATAATGTGCCCGACATTAAAACTGTGCCTCAGATATTCATACAAAACACAGGCCAAATATCTTGACAGTTTCAGATTCACAAATATCATTTCCCAGTTAATTTCTGGTCTTGAAACAGCCTGCTAATTCACTTGATGCGAAGATGAAAGGATAAATTACCTAGGATCGCATGGAGCAAGCACTGAGATGTGAACCATGAGAAGTTTTTTTGCAAATGTCTCCTCTCATTGTGTCACATCTACCTTGCATTTTGTCTCAATCTTCAAACTTTTATGATCTTGTCTAAATGTTTCTTTGCTAATTAATTTGTCACATCATGCCTTCCTGGAATCACTTCTTCTCCTTTATTGACAAGTACATTAATTAAAAGATAATGCTTAATCAATCTGAGATCAATTTGTTCTACTTGAGCTATTTAGCATGTTATTCCAAATGCTCATAATCTGATAATATGCAGCTTGACACATTTATTCAATAAGATTATTTACAGAGCTGTAAAATGCCTAGGAGAGGCGAACCTTTTGTGTTTATATTTTTCAGAATAGCTGTGTACATAATTTAACTAATTTCCTCTAATACTCTTCGAAGGTTGTTACAGCGTCCTTTTCATTTCAGCTGTATTTTATCTCTGCAGTGCTCAATTTTATAATCTCAGAGGTCTTAACTCTATTCCCATCTCTGGGCACACTTTTGTTTTTTAGCCTCTTTTTCCAAAGCCTTTTGTATTTCGAGGACTCAGCAGTTGGTCTAAAAATCAAAGGCTGAATGTTCACTATCTGGATTTTTTAGGGCTCTGGTGTCAGAGCCTGAAATACCTCCAGATGATGGTTGTCACTGGGGGCGAATGAAACCTTCTTATTCTGAACTGTCTTCATAAATCAGCCATATCTGATTGTTCCTTTGTATCAAAAGATAGAGTATGGCAATGTAAAGCATGCATAGTTTTCATGGTAGACTTTGTTGTTGAAAGATGTGGAGCAAGGAAGGGGACAAGAATAGTGATCCCAGTGGGAACCCCAAATTGCTTTCAGATATTATTAATCTTTTTTGTGTGTGTGTGTGTGAAATGGCCTTGTTTTTCAGTTAGAAACTGAAATCTTTTATCAGCTTTAAATTCGACAAGGGAAGCAGTATGAATCCTAACTAGCACATCTCAGTAATATTGCAAAAAATATATTCAGCAGCTCCAGACTCTTTCTCTATTCAATATTCTATGCAGAAGGCTTAATTTTGGGATTGTTTAGCATTAAACTTGTATGACTAGTACCAGGAATTCTTGAATACACATTTTCTGCAGATTCTTGCAGTAAAGAAATAAAAAAAAATTATATATATATATTTGTGTACGGCACATTTAGAGGAACGTATGGTATGATATAACGAAAGTTTAGTAAGAACAAAGTCGGTTGAGGTGTGCCGAAACCGACGTGAGGTTAGACTTGTAAAAAGAGGGCCCACCTAGATAATATGAAATAATAAAGGGTGAAGTGGGAGGGGAACTTCTGAGGTCATTGACGACAGGTAAGCAGGGTCTCACTGGGTTTAAATAGGACTAATATTCCCTCCCACAATTACAGGCCAAGCATTTTATATATATATATATATATATATATATATATACTGCTTGTGAAGAGTGAAAAAAATAGTTACATAGGCTGAAAAGAGACATGTGTCCATCAAGTTCAGCCTTCCTCGCATCAGTTTTTTTCTGTTGATCCAAAAAAAAAAAACAGTTGAAGCACTTCCAATGTTGCAACAAACAAGGAAAAAATTATTATTTCTTGACCCCAGAATGCAGTTAGATTGATCTTTGGATCAAGGAGCTATTACCCTACAGTTGAAAATTATATAATTGAATATTAGGTTTTTACAAGTATGCATCTAGTTGTTGTTTAAACATCTGTACAGACTCTGATAAAACCACTTCTTCAGGCTGAGAATTCCACATCCTTATTGCTCTTACAGATGTGGTTTGGCCGAATCAATTCATCCTAATAAAAGTTTGTTTCAGTCAGTTCAGGATTCATCCATGTAGTGATTTGGCTCGGATGTGGCAATAACCATTACATAGGGGAGAAGGAACATGAGAAGATGGACAAATCCAAGGACGGAAAGAGGAGCTAGAAAATATGTGGAAAGTGAAGGCAGTAGTATATCCATTTGTGATAGGAGCACTTTGGGCTGTGCCACCCAAGTTGAGGGAGTTACTTCAGAGGACTTAGGTGGGACATCTAAAAACACTGTCCAGAAGAGTGCAGTTCTTGGAACAGATAAGATACAGCACAGAACCTTCAGACTTCCAGGCTTGGAAATGAGGAATACACAAAAATCCCACCAGGTGGTGTGAGAAAGTAAATTTGTTTTATTTTTACATATATTTATTTTATATTGATTTTTATTTACTGCTCAAGTCTACTATATCTGAGATATATATTTTTCAAAGTGAATGTCATATTTAAGGCCAAGTAGCAGAACTGAACGTATAGCTGACTTAAAGAGATTTACCAGTTTGGCTATATTGACCTTAAATTTGAAATTCACTTTAAATTCTCATTTTAGTGAATAAACCTGTTAGTTAACAAATTAACATACAGTTGTGCTCAAAAGTTTGCATACCCTTAGATAATTGGTAGTATTTGTGCTATTTTTAAAGAAAACATGAGTGAGCAGGCAAAACACGTTTTTTATTTCTTATGGAATTCATATTTAACTGTAGGTTATAACAGAATGGCACAATCATAAAACAAAACATGGCAACAGAGAAAAAAATGAAAAGACCCCTGTTCAAAAGTATGCATAACCTCAGTTCTTAATACTGTGTGTTGCCCCATTTAGCATCAATGACAGCATTCAGTCTTTTGTAATGGTTGTCTATGAGGCCCCTACTTTTTGCAGGTGGTTTAGCTGCCAATTCGTCTCAACAAAATGCCTCCAGGTCATGCAAAATCTTTGGTCATGAACTGCATGTTTGAGATCTCCCCAGAGTGGTTTGATGATATAAGGTCAGGATATTGTGATGGCCACTCCAGACCCTTAACTTTTTTCTGCTGTAACCAATGGAGGGTCATTGTCATGCTGGAAAGTCCAAGAGCATCCCATGTGTAGCCTTCGTACAGAAGAATGCAAAATGTCTGCCAGTATTTTCTGATAACATGCTGCATACATCTTGCCATCCATTTTTACAAGATTCCCTGTGCTTTTAGAGCTCACACACCT